ACCATCCTAATCCTCCCAGCTCTTCTCGACAGTCTCCCTGACCCGCTTCGTGTATTCTTTCCTGTTGTCCTTGTAGAGGTTCGAGGCTTCGACGTTGGCTGGCGAGCCAGTGTTGGGGTCATTAAGCAAACTGTAGCCACCACGTCAGTCACTCTGTATCATGCCTCGAAGATGGTCGGCTATTGGTATCTCACCTCTGAATGCTAGTCAACACAGCAGCAACGTCGTACGTCGGACTCCAGCGGTTCTGCAGGATATCCAGGCACAGCTCGCCGGTAGCGTAGACGTTGGGGTGGAACATTTGGCTGATGAACTTGACGGCTGGCGGCTTGTTCGGATACTGCTCCTCAAACTGCATCACCAGTCTGAATGTTCCATCTTCGAAAGGCGTGTCCGCAGGTCCGATAATGACAGCGTTCCTATGCCGTGCTGAATTAGTCATCTCTCCCTCTGAGCTCTTCAGATCCCGACGGCATGCTGCTGCGATGCTTACCAGGTCATAACATTGTCCGGTACAGGAGAGGCTGATACACCGGCGGGAGGGTCGGTTTGCATGCGCTGTGGGTAGAGGTCAGCATGATGATGATCCCAAGAAGCTGCTTGACACCATCTTGAGTCAGGGAGCTTGCTCACCTTGAAGTCTCGCATCAACCGGCGGCGAGCAGCAGTCGACATTTTGAGTTTGTGGAAATCTCTTTGGGCTTAGGGTTGGCTGAAAGGATGATCGGCTGGAGTACTGGATGTCAAATTGATGAGAGCGGTATTGTCTGATGTTGTCGCGTGCGTTGGTTGGATTCTGTCGATGGCGATGGTGATGGCAATGATGGCAATCGCTTATCGTTGGTTCGAGGTGGAGCCGGCAATGCATCCAGTGGGGGCGACTAGGTAGGGAGTAGGAGGCGCGTTATGCACGGTTACAGCGATTTCAATTTACATTTGGTATCTTCACAGCAAACGCATAATATGTATCAAAGCACAAGAGAGTATACGCGTAACTCTCAATCCACGATCCGTTTCTCGAGGCAAACTCCAAAAATCAGTATGAATCTCCTTCGTACGTCTGAACCAGGATAGAACCCGTACAGGTATACTGAGTGATTAATGGCAAGTGGCGATGTTCGCTTGCAGAGAGACTGGCAGAGGCCCTCATCACTGGTCCTCTACACAGTATGATGACACCCCTTCGAGCTGGAGGGAACGATTGGGTGGTGGGGGGACAGGGCGAAAGCTTGACGAGATGCGGCTGCCAGCCTACCTTAGTTGCGCCCGGAGCTCTCACCGCGTATACCTGTGGCGTTTCTAGACTCGGCACCTTATCTTTACGAGGCAGTTCTTCACGAAACTGCAGTGTCTCAAGCCCTTCTTGACTTGAGAATTCTCTCTCCTCTTCACATCCTATGATGTTGTGGAAGCCTTCGGACTCATCAGTCAGGCGCAAGGCAGCCTGGCAAGGGATCCTTCAACATATACTCTGAAGCGCATCCGAGTGGGTGTTCTCGCTCTTCAATTCTGTATGTCTGCCCCAGAGGGTGAGCTAGGTCTCAGCACCAAAGACGGCTCGGCGATAAAACTTAGCGACCGGAAGGAGTCACGCAAGATCAGACTCAACCGGAGTGAGACCACACGCAATCTTGCGCGAAGCTTGGTGAAACTGCGAGGAAAGAAGGATGACTTGCCCCAGTAAGGCACTGAAACTAACCCGTCCCTCAAGCTGATGGCTGACCGACTCTTCTTCAAAGACGCTGTAAGCGAGAGTCCTTCCGGTTGGCACTGTGAGAGGTTGAGCTGAACATGTCAAAGGGTGGTTCGCAAGCACATGTATCCCGCTCGTTGCCGCCACCATCGGGCCACTGTGCAACGTGCTCTCTATCGCTGCTCTGGTCTCTCCATGGCGAGTAACCCTCCCGAATAATGGAGAGCTCCCTGGTGGCGCAGATGACAATGGCGTCGGTGTATCCGATCCTCACTGGTATGTGGTGGAAAGCAACTTGGCTTGCTCAGGACTCACCGAGGCAATAGGGAGCTCATCCTTAACGGCGTGTCGCTCGCCTGCGGATTCGCAGGCAACTTCTTCCTGCTGCTCAACTTCACCGGCGGGGCCAGGTACATCATTGCCCTGCCTCTCTCCATAGTCTTCTGGATCCTAGCGTCGGGAATTGTAAGCTCGCATCTACCCATTATAGAGCTCGCGAAACTGACTAGACCAGCTCATCGCCATAACCACAGCTCTCAGTATCCATGAGGCCCTTTCTGGGCCAGGCGAGATCTACTCGCAAGGATTCTGGCATGCCGTCATGGCCGCTATCCTATACTTTGCGGGGTGCATCATTCTGGTGGTCAACATGGTCGGCTACTTTCTGGGCCACTATCCTCAGCAGTTCGACCTCGACGACGACCAGCGTACCCTCATCTTACAGACCATGATGTTCTTCTTTTGGCTGGCAGGTGGAGCGGCAGTGTTCACAGCACTGGAGGGCTGGTCTTACTCCAATGCACTCTATTATGCTGATGTCGTAAGTATCTGCATGCCTTCAGCTCCATGAGTGCCCCCTTTATGCTCATACTGACGCCCACCCACAGACCGTTTTGACGATTGGCTTCGGCGACTTCCACCCCAATACCAATTCCGGCCGCGGCTTCCTCTTCTTCTACGAGATCTTTGGCATCATTTTCCTCGGTCTGGTAATCAGCTCCATCAGCCGCTTCGCCGCCAACATAGGCGCCGATAAGATCATCAAGCGCCACCAGCGGCACGCGCGGGAGTCTACTGTCGGCCGCACGGTCACCAATGAAGACGAGCTGAGAGAACGTCTAGGCCTGCCGCCGCGAAAGGACTCCGTCGCCACAACACTTGCAATGGGCACCAGCCAGGGCGAGTCGCTTCACAAGTACGGCCATCTCAAGATCACGGGCCGCACCGTCACCTTCCACGAGAAAGCAATGCATGCCAGCGGCGGAGGGAGAGGCGGTGCAGCACGTCGCGGAACGTCGGGCTCGCTCAGCACGCCCAAGACCGCGGCACTCAGCCGGGACGCCAAGCTGGCGGCTCGAAGCGCGGGGCAGTCGTCCGAGTCGAAGCGCAGACAGCGCCGGCATAAGTTGCTGCTCCTAGAGAAGGAGAAGGATCGTTTCGAGGCTATGCGCGAGATCCAGGACGAGACGCAGCGCTGGAAGCAGTACTGGGCACTGTTCATGGCTGTGACCGCATTCGGTATTCTCTGGTTCCTAGGGGCATTGGTGTTTATGCTTTCCGAGAGTAGGCTGTTGGGGCTGTCGTACTTCCAGATGCTGTATTTCGGCTTTGTATCACTTCTGACCATTGGGTAGGTGACTCGCTTTCCCCTAACCCGTTTCATTGAAGTCTTGGCTCATAGGTAGCAGATACGGCGACTTCTCCCCGACCTCCAACATCGGCAAGCCCTTCTTCATAGTCTGGTCCCTGTTCGCGGTGCCCATCGTCACCGTCTTGATCCAGAACATGTCCTCGACTGTGGTATCGGCCATCAACCGCGGCACCTTCAAGCTCGCCGACTGGACCGTGCTGCCCAACCGCGGCGCCATCCGCGACTTCGTCGACCACCACCCGACCCTGAAGAGGTATCTCGAGCGCCGGCAGGCGCATAAGCGCGTCGAGCAGGGGTTTCAGGTGCAGAATCCCGACGACGTCGGCAGGGATGTTGATGGTGGTACCAACATTGCCCCGAGCCAGAGAGAGGACGAAAGAGGCAGCCGTACAGAGACAGACGCGGCAGAAACACCCCACGACCTCGTCCGCCAACTCGCGAAGACAATCAAGGCCGTTGCGCAGGACCTCCGCTCCTCGCCGCCAAAGAGGTATAAATACGACGAGTGGCGGCACTTCAAGAAGCTGATCCGGTTCAGCGCTCCGTCTTCCGAGGGTGGGCTTATTGAAGAGGAAGAGGAAGCGGATCTCATCGAATGGGACTGGATCGGGGAGGACAGCCCGATGCTGGCGGACGTTGCCGAGGCTGAGTGGGTGCTCAACCGGCTGTGTGAGAGCCTGACGCGCTATTCGAGGCGCCAGGCGTTGTTGGCGAGGAGGTTGGAGAAGGCGCCTGATGTTAGGGATGAGATAGCGGAGGCGGGCAAGGATGACAATGGTAGTTTATAGCAACAGCAGCTCGGCAGATATATGACAATTACATTCATGTGCTCAAGGAGTAAAGCGAAAGGCACCCTGCGACCTACCATGGCCTGCTCGTGCCTCCCGGCCTTCTGCTATCTCCCACAGCCTGCTGCTCTGCCGAACCTACTGAGATACCGCAGCGTACGATCGTCTTTTCGTCTTTAGTCCACCTCGTCGTCATAATCATCATCGACTATCACCGACCAACGATACGTTACAACCGGTCGCCGTTAGCTCCAATTAGTCACGGCAGCACTTTCACTCAAGACAAGTCCTCCACATCATATACAGAAGCTTCTTCTCCCTCCGGTACTTGCTGAAATGATCACGGGCCTTCTTGCACAATCTGTTTCAATTGACCAACATACAGGCGAAACCATGTCGAGTCTGCTCTATTCCGTAACGACGACAAGATACCAACCGGCGGACGTTGTATCAGTGGGGTATTCTGTTGATGCTTGCTGTGGTATATGCCAGAACCTCGGGGTCGGATGAGGAGCAACAGTATTGCCAACCGGTTTTCTTGATGTCGTTTTCCATCATCTGGTGCATGGGCGGTGCCACCTTGGCTCCTACTTCTGACTGGCGAACGAAATCCTCGGGCAATCATTTGTCGAGATGCTCTAGCAAGAGCGTCTAGAGAGCCACCACCCAAAAGTGCTCCACGACCATTTTGCCGTTGTGATTCTTTTTGCACTGTTGAAGCTAGGTCACAGTCGACATATCTCCCTTTTCCAACTCTATCTGTCAACATTGTAGCTAATATGCCTCAGGCAATCTGAAATCCCATGGACCGAATATGATTACAGAAAACAATCAAAAAGAAATTTAGACAGAAACAAAAAAAAATAGTTGGTCCCGGTGGGGGTTGAACCCACGACCTTCGCATTAACTTCATGGATTCCCAAGGGAATCTATTAGTACGACGCTACTAACCAACTGAGCTACGGGACCGGATGTAACCTGTAGGTACCAACTGTGGATACCTGGCGAGCTGTTATAGCACACTATAGAGCATGCATGATTGCAGCATAAAGCGCTTCCTGACTATAGAAGCATTCTGGTCATCAGGACAGGAAAGAGTTGAGTGAGTGAGCCAGGACACAAAGGTTTTCGTGTACCACTTGATTGCTAGCCTCTGGAAGCCGGCGTGTTTCTAACAGAGAACAGATCCGACAAGGGAGACGACACCAGGGAGCATCTGATCAACATGTGTGATCCTACCATACCTTACCTAGGTGTACATAACAGCGTGAGCTTTTAGGTATCGAAAAGAGGAGATAATGCTCCGGCTGTCGTACATGTGCAACAGGCCCTGAACCCCTCTCTAGCAACAGTGATGGCGGACAGAGCTCGCTTTTGTCGGCAGACAACGACCGAGATAGCCCGGTGAACTTTGAAGAGCGCTGTAAGTTGAAGGTCTTCGACGAGGTGCTGGATCGGATACTGTGTACAGCTAGGGATCTCGATGGACAACAGAGTGTCCGACGTCTTGGCATAGAGTGCCCCGCGCTTCAGTGTAGAATGATGGCATGCTACCTACTTCAGTACAACACACGGCAAGGGCTTCGGAGGCTCACGAAGGAAGTTCAACTGCATCGCCATTGTCTACGGATCCCCGGGATGCATGGTGAGACTCTCATGATAACCAATCAGTCCTCCGTATTTGAGTAACGCTCCTGCACGCCCAGAGCGAAAACTGGATCTCATCCATCGCACCTTGCGTGGGGCCGTTGTCGTTCGACCTCGAGCTGCATTGCGGAGCGATGCAAGCAGTGTGAGGTAAGGTATGCCTTCCAGGTTCTCATGTCTCTGTTGGACGTGCTGTTGCGTATCTGTCACCTGAGGGTGCAATGCAAGCCTCCATCTCGTCTGTCTTACTTTATCTATCCCACCATCCCCTCCAACTCGCATCATCTCTTCTCTCCTCTCCCGCCTCTCAGCTCCTCTCGTCGTTTTACTCGCTTCTATACCATCTGCCCCCAGGCATTGTCGAGTGCCAGCACCCTGCCCAGCGGTGCTCGCTTGTTCTATCTCATCCTCTCCGGAGCATCCACCTGTAGACCGCAGTTGAAGACGGATCTTGATTCCCCTTGCCGGCGTACCCGCTTTGTTGCGTGTTGAAGCTCGAGCTAAGATAGTCGGTAAGCTCCCCTGCCTCAGCTCAGTGGGACGAGGCGGCGTTGAGAGCGGTCGAGAGCTCCCCCACCCTCGGCCTGCCCATCAGCATTCCTGACGTGATCGTCAAAGCTCCCCGTCACATGTTGGACCTTATTAGCGATCGACTCTATTTACTCCTTCTCCCCTCGTCTGCTCATTTAGCTTCATTTCCGTCCTCCAGTTCTTCTCGTTCTGTACGCTTGTCAATCCGCTGACATTCGCCCTCGATTGCCATAGAACATGGCTTCCACAGAACGGATTCCCCTCAGGGAGCGTCGCCCATCAACGGGTGCTCCCATTGTCGACATCCAGGGCTCCGTCAGCCCGGCAGGAATCTCGCGCCCCAAGCACAAGAGAACCTTCACCGGGTTCGGTGCCACCGAGATCAAGAGCGTTGAAGGTTCGTCACAAGCTTCTTTTTACTCAATGGCGCTGTTGCACAATTATCTCGGCGTTTCTTGCTGGGAGCAAACAGGCGGGGTCGATAAGACAAGGGGTGGAGGGGTCGCTGTCGACCGATCACCCTGTGTTACTCCAGGGTACCCAGACCAATTGGCGATCGCAGAGGCTAATCGTTTGCGATGCAGCGTCCATTCCCGAACCGCAGCGAGTGGCGTGGACAAAGCACCAAGTTAGTGGCTTCAAGGACACCGACGAGTTCGAGAAAGAGGTGGTTCGCCATGTCGAGACTACCCTTGCTCGCAGCATGTTCAACTGCGACGAGTCCGCCGCCTACTCAGCAACCAGCCTGGCCTTCCGGGATCGCCTGATTCTCGAATGGAACCGTACCCAGCAGCGCCAGACGTTCGCTGACAGCAAGCGGGTCTACTATTTGAGCTTGGAGTTCCTCATGGGAAGGGCACTCGACAACGCCATGCTCAACATCGGTCTCAAGGATGTTGCTAAATGTGGGTTGCCTTTCTGGTAAAAGGGGGTATATGAGTGCGCTGGCTTACATTCCTGGACTCTTAGCTGGACTGGCGGAGCTCGGTTTCCGTGTCGAGGACATCATCGAGCAGGAGCACGACGCTGCCCTGGGCAATGGTGGCCTAGGTCGGCTTGCTGCTTGCTTCTTGGACAGTCTTGCCTCGCTGAACTACCCTGCCTGGGGCTACGGTCTGCGTTACCGCTACGGTATCTTCAAGCAGGAGATTATCGACGGATACCAAGTCGAGGTCCCTGACTACTGGCTTGATTTCAATCCTTGGGAGTCGGCTGCCCCTTTTCTTGCTGTTTAATGCTTTGTTTGGTTGCTAACCAGCAGCAGGTTCCCGCGCTTCGACGTCACAGTCGATGTAAGTGACTTTGTTCGAATCCCCGCCTTTCCAACTGGTCTAACCCATGCAACAGATCCAATTCTATGGATCCGTCCACAAGTCTCAAGACGAGTCCGGCAAGACGATTTCGCACTGGGAGGGGGGTGAGACCGTGAGGGCCGTCGCCTATGATGTGCCCATCCCTGGATACGCAACCAGCACGACCAACAACCTGCGCTTGTGGTCGAGTAAGGCTGCCAGCGGCGAGTTCGACTTCCAAAAGTTCAACAATGGTGAGTACGAGAGCTCCGTGGCCGACCAGCAGCGCGCCGAGACCATCAGCGCTGTGCTCTACCCCAACGACAACCTCGAGAGAGGCAAGGAACTGCGTCTCAAGCAGCAATATTTCTGGGTTGCTGCCTCGCTGTATGATATTGTCCGGCGCTTCAAGAAGTCGCGGCGGGCATGGAGCGAGTTCCCCGAACAGGTTGCCATCCAGCTCAACGACACGCATCCGACCCTTGCCATCGTTGAGCTACAGCGCATCCTCGTCGACCTCGAGGGCCTCGACTGGGAAGATGCCTGGAGGATCGTGACCGCCACGTTCGGATACACCAACCATACCGTGCTCCCCGAGGCGCTGGAGAAGTGGTCTGTCGGCCTGTTCCAGCACCTCCTGCCGCGCCACCTCCAGATCATCTACGACATCAACCTTTTCTTCCTCCAGACTGTCGAGCGCAAGTTCCCCAACGACCGGGATCTTCTCCGCCGTGTCTCTATTATCGAAGAGTCTCAGCCAAAGATGGTCCGCATGGCGTTCCTCGCTATCGTCGGGTCCCACAAGGTCAACGGTGTCGCCGAGCTGCACTCGGACCTCATCAAGACGACCATCTTCAAGGACTTCGTCAACATCTTCGGCGTCGACAAGTTCACCAACGTGACCAACGGCATCACCCCTCGCCGCTGGCTCTACCAGGCCAACCCACGCCTGTCGTCGCTGATCGAGTCCAAGGTCGGAAGCAAGGACTTCCTCGTGGACTTGACCCTACTCAACAAGATCGAGCTTAGCCTCAACGACAAAGCCTTCCGCAAGGAGTGGGCTGACATCAAGCTTGGGAACAAGGTCCGCTTGGCAAACTACATCAAGTCGTCGACTGGAGTCGTCGTGAACCCGACGGCCCTATTCGATGTCCAGGTCAAGCGTATCCACGAGTACAAGCGCCAGCAGCTCAACATCTTCGGTGTCATCCACCGGTATCTCGCGCTCAAGGCCCAGACTCCCGAGGAGAGGAAGAAGGCACAGCCCCGTGTTTCCATCTTCGGTGGCAAGGCCGCCCCGGGATACTGGATGGCGAAGCAGATCATCCATCTTGTCAACCAGGTGGGATCTGTTGTCAACAACGACAAGGACATCGGCGACCTTCTCAAGGTCGTGTTCTTGGAGGACTACAATGTCAGCAAGGCCGAGATCATCACTCCTGCTTCGGACATCAGTGAGCACATCTCGACTGCCGGTACCGAGTAAGTCCAACCCGGAACATAGTGTAATCTCCCGCAGATACTAATTCGAGGAATAGGGCGTCTGGTACCAGTAACATGAAGTTTGTCCTCAACGGCGGTCTCATCATCGGCACCTGTGACGGTGCAAATGTAAGTCATCCCATACCATACGGCCCAGACCTGCCACTGACATAGACTGCAGATCGAGATCACCCGCGAAATCGGCGAGAACAACATCTTCCTCTTCGGCAACCTGGCCGAAGACGTCGAGGACCTCCGGCACTCGCACACATACGGCTCGCACACCATCGACCCGGACCTGGCCAAGGTGTTCGAGGCCATCGAGAAGGGCACCTTCGGCAACCCGGCCGACTTCGCCAGCCTGGTGACGGCCATCCGCGACCACGGCGACTACTACCTAGTGTCGGACGACTTCCACAGCTACGTCGAGACGCACGCGCTGGTGGACGAGGCGTACAAGAACCAGGAGGAGTGGGTCACGAAGTGCATCACCAGCGTGGCCCGGATGGGCTTCTTCAGCTCCGACCGCTGCATTAACGAGTATGCGGAGGGGATCTGGAACATCGAGCCGATCAAGGAGGAGAACCAGTCGGACGGGCTCCAGAAGGGCGAGCTCTAGGAGGGCGACCAGGAGGAGGAGAAGATGAAGAAGACGGAGCACTGGTGCGAGATATTTCATGCTCATCCTGAGTAAGACGGGATAAGGGGTAGAGGCGTTTTGCAGATGTGGCGGATGCTTAGCAGGCGGAATGGCTACGATGGCGCACAGAGAGGCGGTGGGTGGGAGGCAGGTGACGGCGACTTATGGTTACGAGAATACCTATGATGAAACACTTCCTCAGCAGTAAAGAGTAGAACATGAGAATATACTCCTTTCCTCGATCTCTGACTTCACACCCGAGAATTGTTGAGAGTCAAGTACCATGTTCCCTCGATCTGACTGACTAAAGCCGATATGCCTTACTCTACAAGAATAAGGTTCCTGGCGCAATGTATCGGTATGTGTACATGATCCTG